TCTGGCCTGTACCCCTTTCTATATGAATAAATAAGTAAATCTTAAAAAAAAAAAAAAAGTGAAGAGGCAACCGACAGGGAAGAAAATATTTGCAAACCATGTATCAGTTAAGGGGCCAACCTTCAAAATATATAATTAACTCAACAACAACAAAAAATAAATAAAAGTAATTTTAAAATGGGGAGTGGAACTGAATAAATGTTTTTCCAAGGAAAACTTCCCCATGGCCAACAAATACACGAACAGTTGCTTTATATTAACCATCGGGAAAATGCAAATCAAACCCACAACGAGAGTCATTCTAACAGGTGTGCAATGCTATCAAGAAGAAGAGAGGAGATAATAAATGTTGGCAAGGATGTTGAAAATAGGGAACCCTTGCACCCTACATGCGGACATGTAAATTGGTATAACCACCATGGAAACAGTATAGATCCCTCAAAAACAGAAAATAGAACTGCTAAATGGTCCGGCAATTTCATTCCTGGATATGTTTCTAAAGGAAATGAAAATAGAATAGTGAAGACGAAGACGTACATGTATTCTAATTTATTGCAGCATTATTCCTAATAGCCCAGACACAGGAACATCCCACCTGTCTGTGAATGAATGGACAGGTGTCTATGTATATAGCCATTGTGAGTAGGGCCCATCACTACATTTGTCACACTTTCCCAGCTGCTGTTGCTGGTAGTGGTCCTAGAAGCTGGGATCTTGCTAAAAGTGCAATGTCTGAACTTCACCGCAGCCTGTTGAGTCACACTCTCAGAGGGAAACCCAGGAACCCTATTAACAAACCTCTGGATGATTCTTATACACGCCAACATTTGAGGGCACTATTCTATTACATACTTCTAAAACTTCACCACGTATTGGAGTCACTTTGGGTGCTTTTTACTCCTTTCTTTTCATTTTGTTATATGTTATGGGGGCAATCTGAAGTTGTTTTGAGGGGACATTGAGAGAGAGTTTGGTGTGTGTGTGTGCTCGTTTAAACATGAAACACATTTTTTAGAACAAATGTAGGTACAGGACAAGGCTGTGAACCAGATACTCTTATGAATACCTCAGAATTCAAAGTACCTCCTTCAGAGAATTTGATGTGATTTTCTGAAAAATCTCATTAAAGACAAATTTGCAACCAGGTATGAGAACAACTGCAAATCAAAAAGTTTTCCTCAGGAAGCTAAGGCTCATGCCTGTGCCTAACAAGTTAGCAGAAAAAACAGAGTGAGAGAACAAGCATTTCTTAGATTATCTTCTGAAATGTGAGCTTTGATGGCTGTGTAGTATTCCATTATACCCTGTATTTATTGAATATGTACTAAAAATCAAACTACTTACATTCGTATAAACTCTATTTTACTAAGCAGAAAACAGAGTTTGAGTGAAGGCCTGATTGACTGGGGACACCTGAAACATCCTAACTCTCAAATCCAGGTTCTTTCACTACTGGAGATTTTCAGACTACCCAAGAAATACTGGGGAACGTTTATATTACTCAAATGCCAGGGCCCCACCCAAACTAAGGGAAACTAAGTTTCTCCAGTGACAGGCATCTATTAATTTCCCCATTATTCTGATGCACCATTAGTGCTACAATCTACTGTCCCCCAATATTTTGCATCTCACAATAATTGCAAATATCCTGTTTCTGACTTCCTTTTCCCCCTTTCACCTTCAGTGAGTAACTTTCTTCTCCCCCTTTCAATATTTCACCAAAGTTACCAAAATGCCTCAGATGGCCCAGAATGTGGTTAGCCAAAACATTTTAGGGAGAAATGCATAAAAGTATATTTGACCCAGAAAGCCTAATGTACTTTCTCACTTCAGTGAGAAATAAAAGGGAATGGGGGGCCGCTCCCTGGTGGCTCAGCTGTTTAAAGCACAGCACTAAGAAGCTAAAGCACTAACTTTAGCTAAAGCTAAAATTCAATCCCTGCCACCCTGGAACTGATTCACATGGGGTGGCAGACCTCTCCTGACCCGCCCACTGCTCCGCTCAGCAGTGTACTTCGTAGATCTGCCTGTTCTGCTCCCCACTCTGTCTCTGGTGAATCCTCTGGCCTGTACCCCAGTTCTGTATGCACAAATAAATCTTAACAAAAAAAGGGGGGGTATGGGAAGGTGCTGTCTTCCCAGGAGGTAGGGCAGAGCATGTATCAAACACTTATTGCCATGGACGGCCTCTTTGAAGTTGGTAAAGTGATGGCTATATGAAGAAAAATACATTACTCTGTCTTCTGGGAATTAGCAATGACCTCTAGAAAACACAGCTTCAGGACTCAGAGTACCGGGTACACAACCTTGCCCTGTACCTACACTTGTTCTTAAAAACCCGTTTTATGTTTAAAAGAGCATACACATGTACACGCACACAAACTCTTTCAATGTCCCCTCAATAACCTTCGGATTGTCCCCAATACAGTAAAATGAAGAGAAACGAGTAAATGAATTTTAAAGGCAGATGGAAGTAATATTTCAGTAGCAAATGTGATGTTTTGTTAACTAGCATCTTCCAAACATTTCTTCCTTTTTGCCAAAATGTAAGATTTGTTTTAACTAACTGCTGGTTATTTACAAATACCAAAGTACTCAAGGAAAAAAGTTTTAAGCTGTGTATGTGCTGCATTGGTAAAGTTAGAAGGTCACTATTTTGCCTCATATGTAATACTGAAACAAAGTCATGGGTTAGAAAGGCTGGAGACCCTGTGATATAGGTGCTAACAATAGTTTATTGCATCCAATTCAATTCACTCATTTAACATTTACGAAAACCTAGTGACAGAAGTGACATCAAATTCCACTATGGCACAAAGATGAAATAAAATAAGATCTTTGAAGTTTAATCAAAGGCAATCTCAGTGACAGTGTCTAAATGCATTGTTTCAGAGGATGATGATGAGGCATAAAATCCCAGGAGCTTGTCAGATTCGTGGCTACTCCCTTCCTGACAACTACCTGAGCTCCCCACCATTAAGGGGCCTTAAGTGATAGCACATGCTACAATGAACAAGGGTTTTCTAAAGTTCTGTGCCATTTCTTAACAGTTTCCTTCCATGTCTCCTTCCTTTTGCACTGATATACATAGACTCTGCTTTCTTAATGTGGATGGCTCTCTAAGTGCTGGTACCAACATTAGTATGTCATGTAGCTAAACAGAACCACACTTGCATTGCTTACCACATAGGAGATTAGAGTCACTAGTTCAGTTTTGGAGATCAAAATATTTCCTTATGTAGGTATTTATCAATTTCACACCAAGCTGAACAAAACATCATGGTGAAATAATTGTGCAAAGTGATGAGCATTTGGAAGACTTACCTTTTTAGCATGTACTACCTGTGGAAATGTTTGGATAATTTGTAAAATTTTGGCAACTAAAGCGAACAGATGGCATCTTTCTGACAGCATCAGGAAGTAGTGATAGTGAGCATTAGCAAACTGGCAGAGATCCATTTGGGATTCATTCATTGGAGAACATTATCACCCACTAGCTTGTCAGTGATGTTTTTTTTTTTTTTCCTCTTCAAAGAAACTGAAATTGCATCGTTTTACTTTTTTAGCTGCACCAAAGCACAGTTAAAGTGCAGAAGTATGTTTTTTATTCAACTTACTTTGTTACATGACTAATTAATGGCTAGTATATTGTGTACTTACTGTGTTTTTTAAACCTCTCTTTTGAGATATTATCCCTGTAACACTTTTCACCCACTTAAACTGTACAAATTCAAAGTTTACTACATGTTCATATTGTTGTATACTAGTCACCATACACAACTTTATAATTTTTTTCATTATTCAAAAAAGAAGCCTACACCCTTTTATCCTGACAGTCCCCTCTCCCAAACCTCGGTCTCCACTCATCTTTCTATCTCTATGTAATTTCCCTATTTGGGGAACATTTCATATAAATGGAATCACAGAGTAGATGACCTTCTATGACTAATTTCTTTTACTTAGTATAATGTTTTAATGCCCATCCATACTGTGGAATTATCAGTATTTCATTTATTATCAAATGATATTTATATAAACATACTATATATTGTTAATCCTTCATCAGTTAATGGACACTTGGATTATCTTTATTTTTTGGTATTATTAGCAATGCTGTTAATTTTTGTGTAGTTTTTTTTGTTGTTGTTGTTTGAATATACACCTAAGGAGTGGAATTGCTGGGTAATATCATTAATTCTGTTTAACTAAATCAATTGCCAGTCTGTTAGCACCATTTTCATTCTCACCAGTAATGTATGTGGGTTCCACTGTTATCACACCTTTAACAACACTGGTTATTTTTTATGTAATTGGAACCACCCTCATTAAGTGAAATGGCATCTCTGTTCTACTTTCCCGATGCCTAGATTTTTTGCCTGCTCCCTCCTCACCTCCCTTTGTAAGTAACATTCCATTTGTTCCTTTTGGAGAGGGGGGCTATCAATTACCCAATTTTAGTCTATATAATCTAAGTAGAGCTAGCCTCAGCCCCTAGCTCCAGAACAGACACATGAATCAGGTCTGGCTAATTAGGATCCTTTGCTAGATCATGGTCTAGTTCAGAGAAAACAATGAGTAGCCCAAGTCAATGTTTATGATGAAAATACTGTACTTGGGATGTAAAAAGACTGAAATACTAATATATTAGAAAATGAGGATGGATAAAGAAAGTTTTCCATCATTTCTAATAGGAAGTCAATCAATAATGGAGTAATCAAAGATAGCATATACTTGGAAATATAAATTCTACATCTAGATGAGTTAAAAGAAGTTTTTACTGAAAGTGAAAATGGAATACTTCTTTACTGTGACAAACATTTTGGCACTGACTTATTAAATTATTTCCATATATTGATAGGGAATGGGGTCAGCAGTGAGACAGAAAGAGACAAGTTTTACACTGAAAAACCACCTCCAAAGTAAAGTGAACACTATCATAACCAAAATCCACCTATACATTTTTTAAGAAAACAAATAATTTTAGGCAAGCCATATTTATTTAGAAAAATAAGGTCTTTTATTGTAGGTACTCCATCAGTTTTTAAAGGAAATTTATTTTTCATATTTGAATGTCTTTAAAAGAATCCAGAGGATTCATTATCCTTCTGCATTTTTTTTTTCAGAAAGTAGTCCTGCAGTAGGTCTGTTCCGGATTCTGTTTCTTTTTCTTTTCTTTTCAGAGGCTGGTGATTTTGTATCCTGAACTTTTTTCTTTTTCTTCAAACAGCTAAGAGGATTGGGGCCACTTACTTTTTTGTGCTTTTTTCTTCTTCTCTGTTCAGGGTTTTTCACCAACCCCTGTTCCTCCTTGAGTTGCTTGATACTTTGTTTCTCATGCACAGAGACTAGCTGACCTGATTCTACTGCTTTAACAAAGGAAATTGTCTTGGGAGAAGGTTTGTCTAAGACTATAGTGTTCTGAATAATAAACATGAGAGGAATGCCGGGCTTTTTCTTTACTTTCATGGACAAATTCTGATCCTATTGAAAAGAAAAATATAATTATTTAGGTTAAATATGTGAAATAAATAAGATACATTAAAGGCAATATATTTTATGATAGAGGAAGAAAAAATAAAAATGAGCATAAATAATTAAGTGGTAACAGTGAGAGCTATACTGAAGCTCTAGGAACACAATGAAACACTAACACAAAGCAACTATGTTAGGTGGCCTCTCTTTGTCACTCCAAGACATGCTTCAGAAAGGGGCAAGAATGCTCAGAGGTTCAAAGAACAGAAGAATTGGATAACTCAGATTGTGGACTCACTGTGTAATTTTAAAATTGTGAAAGTACATTTATGCCAATCTGTATATATGTCAGTTTTTAATTAATGTTAACCTGAGTCTCCTTTCCCTGTCTCTCTCTGTCTTTAAAATTCTGAAGTGTTCAATATTGGTGGCATGATCTCAAATAACAGAGAACATGACCTTTTTAAGAAGCAGTATGAAATATACAAATGTGAAAAAAATGTATGGGCACAGAAGATACAACCTTTGCACTATTTATCTTCCCTTCACAAACCCTAAAACATACCACGTTTCCATGTTAGTAATCTTAAAAAAGGAATCTTCAGTAACTAAGAAGAGAAATCACTATGCGTAAGATCCTCAATTAATGACAACTGCTTTTATGACTACAAATTAATCTAAAATCCAATATTTTTAAATCTAAACAACTTATCCACTGTCACCTAATTTTTTCTGATATTATGTAACGCCACATAACATAATCAATAGAAATCATTAAAATTGATGCCAGTTTTTAAAATAGTGTTACCCAAGGGATTATATCCTAAGTATACAAAGAATTCATCAAGCATTAACAACAAAAAACCAAGCAATCCATTTTAAAAAATGGCACATCTATATAGACAATTTTCTAAAGAACATATGAACAAAATACTCATCATCACTTTTAATAAGGGCAATGCAAGTAAAAGCCATGAAGAGGTACTCACACCAGTGAGTACCTGCTGCAAATGCTAGCGTTTCATCTTTATTGCTGAATAGAATTCCATTGTGTAACTTCCAACAGTGGGTACAGCAGAAGATGTGGACAAAGAGGATCCCCAGTACATGGCTGATGGGATTGTAAACTGTGCAGCCACACCGCAAAGCAGTCTGAACTTACCTTTAACAACTGAACACAGAAATAGCAGAGGATCCAATAATCCCACTTTTGGGTTTCTATCCAATGAACACAAAATCATCAACTGAAATAATTACATGGTCCATAATGTTTACTACAGTATTACTTAAAATAAACAGGATTTAGAAGCAATTTATGTGCCCCAGATAGACGTCGCACAATGGAATTCTATTCAGCAATAAAGATGAAGCGCTAGCATTTGCAGCAAAATGGAAGGAACTCAAGGGAATTATGTGAAGTAAGTAATTGGAAAGATAAAGACAAATACTAGAAAACTGCACACATGTGAAATAAGGAAACAAACGATGAACTGACAAAGTAATTACAAACTAGTGGACAGTGAGAGCGAAACTAAGGTTTTTGAGGCTAAAAGTGAATGGACAGAAAGAGTCAAGGGGCCTAAGGGTGGTGGTAGGAAGGAAAAAAGGAAAGAATTGCACATTGACGTTAAATGTATAAACAAAGCAGCATTACCTGTGTTGCCATAAAATAATGATGAGGATTTCCCTCTGCAACCATGGAGAGTAGACATTCGGAGCCACTGACTGCATTCTTGAAATGTGGACAATTTCTCACCTGGCATTTTTGTGCAATCAGTTTTGCCCCATATAATTCTTTCCCCAATGTTTCTAACTCTTTTAACACACACCTGGGGGAAGGAAAAAAAAAAAAAGCTTTGGGCAAAAACCTTTAATATCTGATACTGATACAGTTTTCTGGGAACCAGAGATGTCACTTCGTAGAATTACTGGGGCACCTGAAACGTTTCATTTAAACTAGGAAAAGCTTTGCAAATAACTATGTAAGAGAGGATAGGATTCGGACCCTAATAAATGCGCTACCTATGCTATCTCTCGTTTGAACTTTACAGCAACCTTGTAAACAGTTATGGTTTCTTTTTTACGGAGGAAAACCCAAAGCTCAAAGAGGTTAAGTAACGTGCATGAAATCACGGATCTGGTTGTCTGGGACCAAGATTCGAAGTCAAGTGGAACCACAATGTGCGTATTTTCATTAGCCAGGAATATCTGAAGGGCACTTTGTGATACACAGTTGGTTTTTTATTTACTTCTGAATACAAGAACTGGGGTGCAGGCCAGAGGGGGGGAAGGTGAGAGGACTCACCAGAGACAGAGCGAGGAGCAGAACAGGCAGACTGAAATACACTGCTGAGGGGAGCAGTGGGCGGGTCAAGAGAGGTCTGCCGCGCCCTGAGGGTCACTCCTGGCCGGGGATGGAAGTCGAGCTGCAGTGGCTGCGGACAGCTTCACAGCGCTGGGACTCAGCCCCGCGCGCCACCAGCGAGGACCCAACTACACAGTTTCACGCGCACGCCCTGAACTGTCAACTCTGGGGTGATTGCACCTTCATGATCGCAGTGGAAGCTCGTGAGCAGCCTCCCCTCTGCCCACTCCGCAGACCCCCGCGCCTGCGCCCCGCCACACCCACCTGGTGGTGCACAGCTGCGTCTGCCCCATGAGGTAGCGGGGCAGCTGCTCCCGCAGCTGGATGCGGCCCCGCAGCGCCGCCTGACAGAAGGTGCCATCCAGGAGAATCTGGTACGGCTCCCGAACCCCGAAATTGTTGCGGAAGAAGCTCAGATGCTTCTTGGCGTGTTTCTGCCTCGTGATCTTCATGCCTGGTTGTCCGGACCGGGGCCGCTGGGCTAGGAAGGGTCAGCAAACGCTCCCCAGCTAGCAGCCCGGCAGCAGCCCGGCGTGGTCCTCCCGGAAGTGAAGCGCCCTTGGCTCCGGAAGCAAACGCCCCCACGTGCCCGGCCCAACCTGCTCTTTACGTCACGCCTGACGCGCGTGCGCTTTCAGCCTGGCTGCTGGAGTTGACGGAATTTTGCCGCCAGCCGGAGTGCGCCGGCGCCGTCCAGGGGCGCGGCTGAGGGGCCCTGCGCGTCGCGAGTGTTGCACCGCCTGGCCTGCGTCATCCCGGCGGAGATGGGCTGTTTAGTGATGCCAGTGAGCTTGAGTTGTATTGACCCTCGGCTTTAATGTTTATCATTCCAAAGTCAGGAAAAGAAAGGGACTAAAATATATTGGACAACTTATGTTGATCAAAAAATAAAACAGCTAAGCTGAGAGGCCATGGAGCTTTTATTAAAAAAAGGCAACACTGGCCCTCCCTGGTGGCGCAGCGGGTTAAAGCACAGCACTAAGAAGCCAAAGCCACTTCAGCATGAGTTCGATCCCCACCTGCCCCGGAGGTGACCACAGGGCGTGGCAGACCTCTCCTGGCCCGCCCTCTGCTCCCCTCAGCAGTGTACTTCGTCGATCTGCCTGTTCTGCTCTCCACTCTGTCTCTGGCGAATCCTCCCACCACTGCACCTCTGGCCTGTATCCCAGTTCTGTATGAATAAATAAGTAAATCTTAAAAAAAAAAAAAAGGCAACATTACTTTGCAAAGGTGAAGACAGTCCTTAATGGTGATTAGCAAATTTAACGTTTCCTATTCTGTAGGGTTTTTACATTTTTTAAAATTAAATACATTTATTTATTTATTACATCATTTTTTTTATTTTGTACATTTTTTTTTCTTGTTATAATCCCGTGGACTTCCCACTACCTACCACTTCACCTGTGTGCCATCACCATAGTCCCATGTGCTCTTCCTGCCCGGTTTTGCTCCTGTTCCCTCTTCACCCCCATAGAATGTCTCCGTTTATAGGTGTTCATTGTTTTTTGTTTTTACTTTATTATAATTGCTTTCCCCCCCTGATCCCTTAAGCTCCTGCTATGAATGAAACCATCTGGTATTTTTCTTTTTCTTTCTGGCTTGTTTCACTAAGTATGATCCTTTTCAGCTCCATCCATGTTGCTGCAAAAGGCATGAGTATCTTTTTGATTGCTGGGTAATATTCCATTGCATATATTCTAGGGGTGTTACTGAAAACAGGATTCTGAGCCCTGCAGAAAAAGTTAGTATACTTGTTTAAAATACTTATTTCTCAGATCAAATATTGAGGAAGCCAGATACTATTCAGAAAGGAAGTGACAGTTATTAGTTTCTGTCATTATTATGCATATGTGGGTCAGTAAGGCCCTGTGTCTCTCTATCTAAAGTGGTATTTCATTTCATTACTGAAAATTTTGATGCTAACTCACCTAGAATTGGGAAATCAATATTTAGCCATGACCAAGGCACAAGCTAAACATTGCTGTAATTGGATGAACTTTTGTGATATAAGTTTAAGCTGAAATTTTACTTGGAGAATTATTACAATATTATTAATTTTAATAGTTATTAATTTTTTTAACCTTATACTTCAGGATGACTGCTGTGGCAATGTGGAAGCTGCTATTTTTTTCCCCCTCACGTCACTATACTGGACATTTTCTATTACAAATAGACATTCACTTTGAACTGAGGTAAGTAGAGGATTAATTTGTTTTATTTTTTATACTCTTCAAATGCTTTATTATGTGTGGATCAAATGTAATTTATAATGTAATGTTGGTCTCCTTGATTTTGAAGTGTTTTCTTCATGAAATTTTAATGAAGTCATGTTGACTTGCAAGATGTGACTAATTCCCAAACAGGGCTTTTTCATGAAAGATTCATGCCTAAATGAAATTAAGTTGGTAAATATTCAATTAAATAGATAAACATGCAATTCATAAAGGTTATTTTGTTTAATTTCATAAATGCTACTAGTATACTAGGTAGTTCAGCAAAGTTATTTATATTTATTGTGAGATTATTCTGCCTTACATTTATAATTAAATATTTATAAACATTTGTTAACATCCATTAGCTCAAAGAGAATATAGTGTTCCTCTTATTGTTAGCTAGCTAATCTTACTCTCCAAATACATAATTTCTCTAACTAAGTCATTTAAAACAACTTTGGTTAACTATTTCATATCAAGGCCCTAGTAGGTTCTTTCCCAACTTAGGAACTGGCTTATTGTGATTTTCATGTATGGCAGAAAGTGTTATGAAGTTTGGTTCCAAAGGCTGGCACATCTTTAAAAGACATTCTTGTGTTTTTCGAATTACAAAAGTAACACATGCCAGTTACAACAAGTAGAGCAGTGGAACAACACAAAGATATTCATTCCCTCTCCATGTCCAAATAACACATGTTAACAACCTGCTTTTTGGGTAAATTTTCATATTCATCTATACATATGTATATATTTAAATAGAGATTTTTATTACCATTATTTTTAAAATGTAGTAAAATTTTACCACTTGAATGCATTTTGCTTTTCTCATCTAACAAACCTTATGGAAATCTTCCCATTCCCCCTCATACAAACCCCAAGCCAGTCAGAATAGCTGTCATTCATTATTTTTAATGGCTGCATGAAATTTTCCACAAAAATCATTCTACATAACATAATGACTGTGGCATAGACTATAAATTGCCACCAAATATCTCTTTTCTTTTTCATGGTAGAATCCTAATGGTATTCGGAACAGTAAAGGGCTCAGAGAAGAGAATTCATTTTCTAACGTTCTGAGCAGTAAAATATCATATATTAAGTTGTAGGTAAGAATATGTAAGTACGTGCTATACAAGGGATTTCTGGGGAGAAGGCCATTTAAAAGTGATACCCTATTCCTTTTTCGCTGGTTTTCCCTTTTTCCTTTCACCTTTTTGTCTACATGCTTCTGTCTTGCTGCTTGGAATTTGGGTGATGAATGGCACACAAGTAGCCTCCATCTTAGATGTCAGGTAAATTTAAGAATGGAGGTCATGTGCTAAGCTGGCAAGCTGGTGGGAGGAGTCTGGATTGTGATTATGAAACTCTCTACAAAGATGAGTTCCTATTTCTGAATTGGTTTTACATAAGAAGGAAAACAAACTTCCCAGGTTTTAAAAATATTATCTTAAGGTTTTTATTCCTATTTTTGAAACTTGATTTTTTTGAGAGCAGTGTATTCAGTTTGCAACAGAATTGAGAGGAATATACAGAGATTCCCTCTAGCCTCCTACCCCTACAGATGCATGACCTCTCCCTATTATCAACACTGCTCATCACTCATCACAATGGGACATTTTTTTAAATAAAGGATAAGCCTATTTGACATATTAAATTTCCATCCAAACCCAGTTCTAAGTGATAGTAAGTTAAAGCTACTAGCCAGAATTAGAGAATTTTATATTGACAGGTTTCTTTGATTAATTTTGATGTTAGTGTTCACCTAATAACCCTTTGTGTGAGAAGGTTCATAATCCTGAGTGTTCTCTGTAAAAAATAACTTTCAAAATAAACTAAACTGTATCCCTTTTATGTACTGTAGAAGCTATCATGACATTATTTCAGAAGATTTTTTTATTTTTTGAAAGCTTGAAAAATTTGATGTGAGCTGGTTGTGTCAGTGGACTCTGTCTCCTGTTGAAAAAAGTCAGGTAAATATGAAAAATCTAGCAGCTGGGGCAAGAAACTTCAAGGCAATGTTAGTGTCAACAAGTTGTCAAATAAAAAAAGCAGGCAAGTTGTGGACCCAGCAATACCAGTAAGACCTCTTTCCAGGATGAATGACAAAGGAGAAACTGTCTCTTGGAAAAGGTTTTCAGGGAGTTGTCTGTCAAGGGTGTTTCTAAACCAAACAGTAGCCAGGTAGTGCCTTTGAGATTTTCAGATAACTGTTATCAGTTGGCTGAACATGACATTAGACTAGCAAATTGGTTTGCTACAATAGTTGATTTGAATGTCTTCATACAGAGGAAGAAAAAAAAACAAGGTAAATTGAAAGGAATTTAGTATTTTAATATAAAAGATCTGAATAGTACTTTCTTTGGGGATTATGCTGTGAAGTATTCAATGGTGTTAAAGTGGTGAAAATGAAAACTGGCACAGAGGAGGGAACAGTTTAGGTGTGGCGGCAAGGGGCAAATGTCTTACTTTGATGTATAACAAACTGCTATTTGAAATTTAATTAAATCATAACTGAAACTGTGGGAGAAGTTCATACAATATGGGGTCTTTTATTTTACCCTAGCCAAGTATTTTAGAAGATTAATGAATCCTTATAAAATTACTCTAGGTAAGCAAATATTATTACTGTTACTTAAAGAAGCTTAAAGATCAAAAATTATGTCGGATTATAGCATTAAAAGGATTTTCTAAAAACACTATTTATTTATGTTGAACAAAATGTTGAAGACAACCCTTTCACTCATGGTTTCGTATATATTTTTAAGCAGCAGGAGAACTTCAGGTCCTGAAATCCTAGTGGCAAGAAATTAAGCAGGCTTTCAGTAATCCAGTAGAATATTATTTCAAAGTCTCATATTTATAATTGAATTATACCAATCGGATATTAATTACATGACATACAAAATGAAAGTCACTGTTAGGATCCGCTCAAATGTTTTCAGTGCAATATCATTTTGCTTTAATATTAATTGCTAAGTCAGAAATCAAAATACTAGAATGAGAAGGTCAAATGTTTTAAAATTATTATTATTATTTTAGAAAACATATGGAAAATACCCACATGCTGTGTCATATGTCGAGATGAATATTACTTTCTTTTTATTGGCTCTCACTTTACCCTCGCTATTGTTCCTTTCATAATACTGAACAAATCACTTTGCTCTTCAAAATATAACCTCATGTGGCCTCACTCCACATATAAACACAGAAGAAAGCATGTGAATTAAACTGATCCTAATCAGATTAAAGAGGGACACCCATAATTCCATGGTTGGGGAGAAATTTTCTTCATCTTGCAGTCAACATTAAAAAGTACACTATCAGC